CTAACCAACTGAGTTACAGAGAGACAGTTGTCAAGCTCTAACCAACTGAGTTACAGAGAGACAGTTGTCAAGCTCTAACCAACTGAGTTACAGAGAGACAGTTGTCAAGCTCTAACCAACTGAGCTACAGAGGCCAGTTGTCAAGCTCTAACCAACTGAGCTACAGAGAGACAGTTGTCAAGCTCTAACCAACTGAGCTACAGAGGACAGTTGTAGAGCTCCAACCAACTGAACTACAGAGGCCAGTTGTCGAGCTCCAACCAACTGAGCTACAGAGAGACAGTTGTCAAGCTCTAACCAACTGAGCTACAGAGAGACAGTTGTCGAGCTCTAAACCAACTGAGCTACAGAGAGACAGTTGTGGAGCTCTAACCAACTGAGCTACTGTACAGAGTCCACTTGTCGAGCTCTAACCACAAGTTTATGTATACATATACTGACCCTTAATATATCTTTCGACCTGATGAGACTATTCAGTGTTAGTAAAAGTAGTTTAATTTATATCCTTGTTTTGATTACTGTAAGTTTCAACACATGATAAATTATTCTTTAGCTTACAATGAAGTTGGCAGCCAGTGAAGCATTTAAAGGAAGGAAAACGTGTTACGAAGAAAGTGTTTCTGAGCCGTTTATGTACAGCAGATTGGGTAGGACGCTGTTCTTTCCATTAAATCAATCGTTCAATTGTCTTGGGGACATTATCCAACTCTCTTTTTGCAATTTCAGATCCAACGCAAGAGTCATTGAAAAGGAGTGCTTTTGATTCGATTTTTAATGCAGAAGAAACGAAGGTAGGTAGTCAGCATTTGTTTGCAATAAAATAATTGATCAAGAAGATCTAGTATCAGATCCTAAACTCTTAACTCTTTGACAGTCATCATTCCTTAGTCTTTTAGAACTTTAATTAGAATTGCGATGTTTCTTGAAAATGAGATCGACTTTGATATCGCATTATATTTTTGCTAAACAGCTGTTTATTATCATCTTTTAGTATTGTATCGATGTGGTGAAATATGATCGCCATGGTTACAAACCAAGATCACGTGTGCTTATCGTCACTAATGAGGTACAGTAAGATTTGTTTTCTTGTTTTGCTAATATATTCAAACAGAGCCTGACGGCACATCTCTAACACAAAAAGCTTCTCTAAATCATCTAATACAGACACTCCTCGAATACAGACACTTCTTTAATACGGATATCTCTCTAAATACAGAATGCTTCTCTAATACAGACACTTCTCTAATACAGACACCTCTCTAAATACGTACACCTCTCTAATACAGACCCTCTCTAATACAGACACCTCTCTAATACGGACACCTCTCTAATACAGACACCTCTCTAATACAGACACCTTTCTAATACAGACACACTCTAATACAGACACCTCTCTAATACAGACACCTCTCTAATACAGACACCTCTCTAATACAGACACCTCCCTAATACGGACACCTTTCTAATACAGACACTCTCTAATACAGACACCTCTCTAATACAGACGCTCTCTAATACAGAATACCTCTCTATAATACAAGCATCTCTCCAATACAGACACTTCTCTAATACAGACACCTCTCTAATACAGATCGGCTCTCTAATACAGAATAACTCTCTATAATACAAGCATTTCTCTAATACAGACACCTATCTAATACAGAACGCCTCTCTAATACAGACACTTCTCTAATGCAGACACCTCTCTTATACGGACATTTCTCTAATACAGAATGCCTCTCTAATTAAGACACCTCTCTAATACAGACAACTCTCTAATATACCAACTCTATAACATTTCTCTAATACGGACACCTCTCTAATATATATACCCATTTTATATTAGAACAGTGCCTATTTTATGCCCTGATAAATGACATCACAATGTTGACTTAGGGTATGCTTAGGACTACGGTTAGAATTAGTATTAGATTAGAGTTAGAACTGGGATTGATTAGGATTTTATTTAAAATAAAATTGCCGAAATTGGAATTAGCCCAATGCAAAAACGGACGGTCAGAAAATCCTGGAAAATTTTGATGGTGAATACATTTTTAGGCGATATATTTGGTGGAACCATCAAATTTCAAAGTGAAGGAGAAGGTTCTTCATTCCGAAGTCAAAGGTATTAAATTTTAGTTTTAGTTGTATTGAATATTAGTTTGCCAGTATACATCGTGTTGGATATTATTATAACCAAAGTTTTATTTCTTAAGGGATATCAGTGAGTTCACTGGGTGATAATGTTTTAATACTTCACACAACGTGTGAACAAAAGGAAGATAAGGTAATATTGCATGGTACATCGTGTATAGTGTGTAACAATGATGTTTACTGAATAGTGACAGAATCCAGGAGTAACAGCTTTTTAATGAAGACCCCCCCCCCCCTTCAAGATTTTACGCTAACTGTTTGACAAAAGGTCTTGCCTCAAGAGTAAGGATTTTCCTCCTTAAATTTTTTGGTTATATATCTTCATGTTTCTAGCACATGTTTCGGATTGTCTTATCGCCACGGTTTGTGGATATAAAGTACGCCTGTTTTTGGCATACCTTATATCCACGGTATAAAGTACGCCTGTTTTTGCGTTTACCCTATCAATATTTTGACAATAACTTAAAGTACTGTATACTGCAGCTAAACTTAGCTCGCTCAGTTAAACGACCAAGAAAAAACTATGGAAAAAAGATGACAATAATTCTAATAATTTTTCTGTGTTGGTGTAGTGTACTCAGGTGAATATGATGCTTGTGATGTTACTCTGAGTGCATATTCACACCGGGAAAGCTTGAAAATTACGCCTGGCCACGGTGGGAATCGAACCTTCCGAAGGTCGTAGGTTCGATTCCCACCGTGGACAGGCGTATTTTTTAAGCTTGCCTGGTGTGAATATGCACTCAGAGTAACATCTCAAGCATCAATTCTAATAATGTCATAAATTATTTCCTTAAAATTTTTTTTAAAATATTCCTGTATTGAAGTCCGCCACCTTCTTTCTCATCATTTCCTTTCTTCTTTGCTCGTCTGTATATGTTCAACTTTGTCATGTTTTTCCATGACAAGAGTGCTAGTTCAAACCATCAAAAGTGACATTAGCTGGTTCAATATATCTGGACATTTTTAACGCAGGGTGACTGGATTTTCACAAGTTCGAAGATTATTGAAACGGTGACGCAAATTTTTATGGCAACGAATACCAAAGACAAAATTAATATTGAACAGTCTAGGTAAGTATAGGTTTATAGATATCCAGCTGTAAAATTCCAAAATGGTTTTTACCGTGCCATCGCAAGAAAGTATCCATGAAATTCACTGAAAATGTTGAGTAAATATGTACATCCACCCATGCATATAATATTATACAAAGACCCCCATTATTAATATATTTTTGAGCGAATTTACACCGAAGAATGAGTTAGAATGACTTGAGTTATGGACAGGAATATCAAAATGAAACAAAGTTAACAGTCAGACATTCAAGTTGCTTTATACCTTTAATTGTGTTTTAGTATTACTCATTCGTTGCCGAAGGAGAAGAAAGGCACCATAACGTTTGCGACAGGGTGCGTATAATCTTATTTTGTCGTGTCGTGTTGATTTAATAGTGAGTAGACTTTGTTGAATGATATTAATTCTGTGTGTTTAGTGAACAACTACTGATTGGAAAAGGCAAGACTGGCAATTTAGAAGTGGTATGTTGCCTTTGTTTTATACTGAGAACTCAGTGAACCCTCGCTGGCCGGGCTACACAGTAAAAACGCACAGGTTGTTACAGGTCTGCAAACAAATTGTTACAAAATCTGTTCACAAGCTGTCAACAAATTATGTTCGCACTGCTTGTTTCCAGTTGTTGTAACAAGTTTGGAACAAGCTGTTAACAACTTGTAACAAGCTTGATGGCATTATCACACTTGTAGCAAAGTTGTTCTAACAAGTCTGATACAGTCATGATATAACACGTTTTATAAATCTGTTCACAAGCTGTCAACAAGTTGTGTTCGCACTGCTTGTTCCCAGTTGTTGTAACAAGTTTGAAACAAGGGGTTAACAACTTGTAACAAGCTTGATGGCATTATCAGACTTGTAGCAAAGTTGTTCTAACAAGTTTGATACAGTCGTGATATAACAAGAATGTTACAAGGTTGATGACACAAGGTTGTAACAACATTGTTATATCATGACTGTATTGGACTTGTTGGAACAACCTTGCAACATTGTCTGATAATACCAACAAGATTGTTACAAGTTGTTAACAGCTTGTTCCAAACTTGTTGACAACTTGTTGGCAGACTTGCCACAAGATGTGAGACTTTTGCGTGTGTAATGGTCAATGCATGGCCTAATCAATATCAGAACAATGGTAACTAGCCGAGAGGTTACGATTAAGATTATTTACAAACCCATTTTAGAAATTCTCCCAAACTATCTGAGACAGTTCAAACGAAAACATTCTACCATCCGCCTTCTTATTATTTTTAATTAAATCTAATTCAATAACGTCACAACCATTACTATGACTTTTTAAAACTAAAAAATATACCAGTAGAAATCTTATACATAGCGTGTGCTTTAATCCAAAATAGACAGAAGTATAAAATAGAATTTAGCATTGAAATGACCCGAGAATCACTCAAGATAGAAAATAGTTTTACAGTGGTTTTGGCGGAATGCATAATTATTTTGTTTGAAATGAAGTGTAATATCTTTTATACCAAGAACGACAAAGAAAATCTGTAATAAGATTTTTAAATATCGTGAATCTCTCTTCCACGTTGAAACTTTATTGCCACTTTTCTAGTTTAGTAAGTCAGCCAGCACTTCATATATTATATTGGTCCAGATTTTCACGCTTCTCAAAAAAGAGAAGAATTTTGTTTTGCAGACAAGTTCGATGCTAACAAGTAACCCTTTTCATTCTCATAGATTGTGCCATTTTGATTTTGGTGGTAGAGCAGACGAATTATGTGAATTTTGCCAGCTGGCTTGTATTTATGATCATAATCATTTGCACCGCACATTAGACTTGGTCAATGGAAAGCACGAGACATAGATCACAGAATTAATTTCAGTTTTTTTAGAAGCTGATCGTTATTTTAATTGCATATATAATTTGTTCTCTAAGAGCTCATTTCTATAGATCTATTTTAAAGTTAACACAGAAAATTCAAATAGAATGATTTATTTTACTTGTTGTTAATTTGTTTTCTTGAATGCGTAATTAGTTCATTTTGCGTAATTTATGCATGATAGTCTCCGGGCGCACTCCAGGTGATCTGACAATGTATGTTTAGAATGGAACACGAGGTAAGGAGCTGGGCGTTCTGTGGGGGCACCGATGGGTAACGGGTTAGGTAAACAAAATTTTGTCACAAAATGAAGTATTGCAGCTCGTCGAGGACCGCTTGTTTCGTGACCGCCGTCCCAATTCCAAGTTCGAAGTTTCTGAATTTCTCAAAAAATTTATATGACAAAATATTAAAAAGTTTGTGAAAAATGGTGAATTTTAACAAAGCTTGCAGCTCTTTTGCTGCTGCCGTTCTTGAATATGATACGAATAAGATTGTTCATATAAAAAGCAAGAAAGTTGGTGCAATTAATCGAATAATTCAACTTGTGATCATCAGCTGAAGGTCATGGAATCACTATTGACCCAAACAAAAGTATTTGGTATGCTTGTTTATGGCATTGTATTGCAAATATATGTGTTTTAATTTGTATTATTTAGTGGTTTTTGATTAGTTCATTTTGTTGCAAGTTGTGCTTGACAAATTGCTGTTGAACAGCAATTTGTCAGTGTTGTAAATTACAGTGTAAGAAAATTTTTTTATTCCATATGTTGCCTGGGCTATTTTTCTTGTCACGTGCGTGTGCAAGACGTCAACATAGCCAGTTCACGGAGGCAGAAAATTACAACATTCTCCGATCCGAGTTAGCTTTCTTGATATTTCATCTTCATGATTGGCAGAATTGAAATCTTTGTGGCTCAAATTAGTCTATACTGAAAATTTCATATTGTTTGCAGTCATTGCGCATATTACCATTTGCATTCAAGAGGGTCCCCATGCCGAGATAGAAAGTTGTTTCTGAGTTTTGCAACCAACATTGTGATTGGACAACTTTACGTTTTACACCAAACGAAAATGAGAGTTGAGAAGCGAGCGTTTTGCATGAGAGTTGATGAGAGTTGAGAAGCGAGAGTTTGCATGAGAGTTGATGAGAGTTGAGAAGCGAGAGTTTGCATGAGAGTTGATGAGAGTTGAGAAGTGAAAGTTTGCATGAGAGTTGATGAGAGTTGAGAAGCGAGAGTTTGCATGAGAGTTGATGAGAGTTGAGAAGCGAGAGTTTGCATGAGAGTTGAGAAGTGAGAGTTTGCATGAGAGTTAATGAGAGTTGAGAAGCAGGAGTTTGCATGAGAGTTGATGAGAGTTGAGAAGCGAGAGTTTGCATGAGTTGATGAGAGTTAAGAAGCGAGAGTTTGCATGAGAGTTGATGAGAGTTGAGAAGCGAGAGTTTGCATGAGAGTTGAGAGTTTGCATGAGAGTTGACAAGAGTTGAGAAGTGAGAGTTTGCACGAGAGTTGATGAGAGTTGAGAAGTGAGAGTTTGCATGAGAGTTGATGAGAGTTGAGAAGCAGGAGTTTGCATGAGAGTTGATGAGAGTTGAGAAGTGAGAGTTTGCATGAGAGTTGCTGAGAGTTGAGAAGCGAGAGTTTGCGTGAGAGTTGATGAGAGTTGAGTAGCGAGAGTTTGCATGAGAGTTGACGAGAGTTGAGAAGTGAGAGTTTGCATGAGAGTTGATGAGAGTTCAGAAGCGAGAGTTTGCATGAGAGTTGATGAGAGTTCAGAAGCGAGAGTTTGCATGAGAGTTGATGAGAGTTGAGAAGCGAGAGTTTGCATGAGAGTTGAGAAGCGAGAGTTTGGATAAGAGTTGATGAGAGTTGACTGGAGAGACTAGCTGCGCAATACTAGCGAAAACTCTTCTCAACTCTCATTAAAATTTGATCCAGTTCAAAGTCAATGAGAGTTGATGAGAGTTGGTGAACCAACCAAACTCTACTTACCTGAGTTTTCAAACACTGGGAACAAGAGTGGCATGGGAGTTAATGAGAGTTGTCTGGATGTTCTGGTCAAACGAACAAAAACTCTCATCAAAGTTCATGAGAGTGAACAACAAGACTGTTGGGTTATGGGATAAAATAGTTCTTTAATTTATATGTTATAAACCAGAAAAAATATCAAACTATATTTCAAATTTCTACCATGCATTAATTCTAACATTGATCTACTCTACATAATATTTACAAAAAATTCCACATCACAACAGTCAAGCAGTTCTTTGATATAGATCAGGGACCGGTCATAAAGTAAAAGGGGGGGGTGGGCTGGGAAAATCATATATTTGGTGTCTGCACTTTTGGTAGCCCACCCCTTAAAAGCTGCACGAAAATTTGTAGCCCACCCTTAAATTGGTGCTGAAATATTATGACCCACCCCTTTTCCAATTTTTTCCGGGAAAATTTTTTTTCGGACAAGAACGTCCCCCCCCCGTCGACAACTTTATCAGGTGAAAAAATTTTCCGGACGAGTACGTTGCAATTGCTTTCCAAGGACTATCTTAATTTTTCATACCAAATTTCAGTACTTAGCCCAAAAAACCAGATATCTTGTTCTTTGTGTGGAAATTTTTAACACAAAAAAATGACTGGGGCCCAATCTTCTGCATATTTTTACATGGCCCACCCTTATGATTGCGCTTAACTTTCGATGACCCACTCCTTCAACCGTGCTCAAAACAGTCCACCCCCCCTTTTACTTTATGACCGGTCCCTCAAATGTGCTCATAGGAGCACTAAATTCCAAAACGTTTGAAATATATGTCAAAGTTCAAAAATTCTACAAAGTATATATACAATAATTTTCCATCATGTCTAGACCACAACAGCTGTAGCGAACCATCTTGTTTCCTTCATGTCAGGAAGTTCCTCCCATGAAAATCGCCCAAAATTGAAACCTTCAACTGATTTCAAAACATTCACTCTCTCATCTATCCCTCCTAGTACTACAATCGTATTCTCAATAACAACTGCCATACATCCTATCCTCTTGTGTAACATGGGAGGCAACATATGACTGTTTCCAGTCTTCATGTTATAAATTATAACATTGTTTAATGCTTTGTCATCCTTGTCAGCCCCACCAATGATCACGACATTCTCAGCCCACTTGACTGTCGCCATTTCACTCACTGGATAGGGAAGCGCAGGTAACTGTTGACATTCATTCTTCTTGATGTCATACCTTAACACACTGCTAAGGTTGTTTTCGTAGTGCTGTGATTCCCTTCCCCCAATGATCAAAATACTATCATCACATAGTACTGTGCTGTGATGAACTCTTGGTTCAGGCATCTTGGATACCAGTTTAACAGTGTAAGGTGGTTTAAGTTGGACTTCGTGAATACAGTCAGAGTAGACATGTTGATCTGCATTAATACCTCCAGTAACCAACAAGCTATCCTTGTACACCACACTGCTGTGTGCACGCAACTTGGCAGGGAGTTTAGCAGCAAAATCACTCCAGTTAATTGAGAGATCAGGGACTGGGTGAATGTTCATTTGGATCATGTTATCTACAGCACCACTATCACGGCCCCAACCTCCCGCTACAGTCACGTGATTATTATAAACAAATGAAGATGCGCTGCGATGATTCCCTGGCATGGGCTTTAATAAAGACCACAATCTCTGACGGTAGTTAAATATTTCTACCAAGTTTGTCTCCACACCACCAGCAACAAATATATGTTGATTTTCTCTCCCGCCACTCGCTGTGCCACTTACATCTCTTGTGATTTCCTCCTGCTTTCTTTCTTTGCTCTCTATCTTCTCAAGTACTGTTTCTTTCAAGTGATCAAAGCCATCTTTTACTTCATTTAAACTTATTTTCACTTCTCTCACTTCATTATTCATCGCTTCGAATTTCGCTTCCACTTTCGCGTGCAAATTTGCCATTTTCGTGTTCATGTTTTCCAGTTTCGTGTTCGTGTTTTCCATTTTCGTTTTTACATCTGCTATTTCAGTTCTAATATTTGCCATGTTCGTGTTCGTGTTTGCCAATTTCGTTCGGGTATCCGCCTGATTCGTGTTGATGTTTGTGTTCAGGTTTGCGACTTCCGTTTTCATTCCCGCCATCATCGTGCTGATTTCTCCACAGTTGTGACACTTCAACTTTCTAAATTGACACAGTTCACTCTCGTGATATGTACGATCTCTTTTACTGATTGTCTCACCACAACCTTGATTTCCACAAACGACTGGAGTAAACCCGCATTCGACGACATGTCGCTTTAAATTCTGCAGCTGTACAAGTTCTCGACATCCTCTGTCGTAATGATCGCAACGTATACTTAGTTCGTTTAAGTAATTCTTCACAATTCTTGGAACGTCTTGCAATGTTTCGACACTCAGCTCGTCAGCACACGTTGGGCATGTATGGGAATTCCTTTGAAGATGTTCCGTGATGCAGCCGCGGCAAAAATGGTGCTCGTTTCTGCGGCACACCACGGGGTCTTTCAATACGTTGTAGCAAATCAAACAGTGGAAATTTTGGTTCACTATCGATTCGAATCTTTCGTCATCGTACCCAAGTGGATAATTTGATGCCATATTTACTCGCTGTTTTGCTAAATTGAAAATAAAGCAAGTATTAGATGCTTAGTACTACTGATCGCTGTGCTCTACAAATCTTGTCCAAATATAAGCTTGATGTCATATTTTATACTCACCGTTCTTAAAATATAAAGCAAATTATATTCTTACTTCAACCAGTTTCAAGTACAAATATCCTCACATAAACAGCCATATAAGATATCCGTATACACAGGCTTTGTTTTCGTGGATTTGTAATAGTATTTCCTTGAAATTTATAACTGAAAGAACCGTTTTAAACAACAGACGTATATCACTTCCTTGTAAGTCGTTTTATTGCCACGTAGGCCTATGTAGAGCGTCTTGTCCAGACAAGAATTTGATCTGAAATGAAATATTCAAAGTCTTGTGACAAAAGGTCATGACGTCGCTTTTAATATTGGTTTTTGATTGGTTGAGCCGTTCCATGTATTAGGATTTGTTCATATATGTCAAACAAGTGCTTTATCTTGATTTTTAACGAGCGAGAACCGAAGAACATGTCTGAAATATTTGGAGTATAAATATTTAAGATTTTTGTGGCCGCGCTCTCTTAAGGTCCAGATATGCACACCGGACGCGATTCGACAACGCGACGCGATTTTTCGATTTTCACTGACCCGATAACTTTGATCCTAGTTTAAATTTTCCAAATATTTAGAAGCGCTATAACATTTTGAGTTATTTGGTTTACATATTTTTTTAAAATTTGCTCTCATTGGCTGTTTTATTAACTTTTAAATGCTAAAAGATCGCGTCGCGTTGTTGAATCGCGTCCGGTGTGTCTGGATCTTTAAAGGCACATACGGACCGGACGCGATTTGGCAACGCGACGCGAATTTTCAGTTTTCAATGACATTTAACTTTAATATTTTTCAATGTTTTTCAAATATTCGGAACCACTTAAGCAATTTTAGCTATTTGGTCTGCATATCTTGTAAAATTTTTATCCGTTGACGAAAACTAAAAATTCGAAAACTAAAAATTCGCGTCGCGTTGTCGAACTGCGTTCTGTGTGGGCCTTAACAAGGATGCGATGTTGTGAAGATGTCCACTTCGGAAATTGACGGCAGAGGTCGAGCGTTTAACGATTCTTTGTTAGAGCTGGAAAGTTCTATCAGGAATTTTAAAAGTCAATCACACTGTAGGGTGCTTTATTGGCTCATTGAAAATTTTCACAATTTCAAATCGTTGATCATTGGTATATAACCGTTGATATCTTACGAACATACCCATTGCAATTCATTGATATATATGGCAATTCGTGATTATATATGGACACCGGGCTGGCCTGCTTAGCTCGACAGCCCGTGAGAAAATTTCACCCGCTTGCTCTGTTGACAAAAGTGTATTTTGAATATATTGTTAGGGCAGTGTTGTATTAATTGAGTCACGCGCAGGTGAAGTCACTCAAAAGTCCAGTACACGCGTAAAAACGCACAAGTTGTAACAACCTGCAGCAGACATGTAGTAATGCTGTTCCAACAACTTGTCAACAGGATGTGTTCGTACTGCTTGTTTCCAGTCCCAACTTTTTCACAACTCGCTACAAGGTTGCTGAGCTCAGCAGACTTGCTACAAGTTGTTTCAGAAACTTGTTATCCTCCTACAATTCAACAATTTGTCAACAAGTTGTGAGTGATAACTTGTAGCAACTTGATAAAATAACGGCGTTGTTACAACGTGTTGACAAGCTTGCTATAACACATCTGGTTGTCAAGTTGTGAGATTTTTACATGTGTGGTTGTGTCGAGTGCTGATCGAGTCACGAGTGGATTCGAGTCATTGTCATTGATTTCACTCGAGTTGAGTTGAGTCAATGGCTTGAGTTGAGTTGAGTTGAGTCGATAGGCGAACTTGAAATCGGGAGTCGAGGAATTTGAGCAAGTCCACCTACACTTTCTGTAATGGTTCCCTGGCTTGCAGTCTGTAAAATTAGTCATAAAATTCACCTTTAAGTCTGGTTCACACTAATCATCTTCAGGGTTCGTAGCGATCTTTGAAATCCTTGAAAGTCTTTAAACTTGAATGCAGGTCTTTAAGGTCTTTGAAAAGTCTTTGGATTGTGTGAAAAAGCGAAGAAAGTCTTTAAGTGAAATTCTTCAGTGATTATTTGATTATACGATTTCCTAGCTAATAAAATAGATTGATTGAAACAAGATTTTCGCAAATATCGACGAAAAAGTGCATTTTAGGATGTGATTTGACGGGACTAATTACCTGGTAAAAATGGTGCTTATACACTCGCAATTTTTCGACACCTGATTGCTCTCAAAGGTCTTTGAAAAGTCTTTGACAATAGGCAGAAAAAATCTTTGAAAGTCTTTGAATTCTTGGTCTTGGAGCCCTGACGAACCCTGATCTTGTCGCTGATTTTTCTCATCCTGGCGGATGTGATTGAGTGAGTGACATGCAAAAATTCGGTCAAATTTGCCGATCGATGATATAACGGCAAGTGCCCCAGCAAAATCAGAATTGGATTCTGCATCCGCCAAGGATGAAGGGATTCAGAATTGGTCGGAAACAAATCAAATGACATTGCATCTTTCTAAAATGTGGGAAATGGTTGTACAGAGAGGGTCTACGAAACACTCAACACCAATTGCAGGCCTTGAACAAAAGAGTTGGTTAATTAACATTACTGGGGACATCTTTTCAGGATAATCCATGCTTTTGGGATATTTCAGTGTTAACAATCTACTTTCCAAAGCTAGCGTGCGTATGTATACTTCATTTTGTTCGTTTATGTACATTTCGTTTATGTATATTTTAATATAAAGCCTTTTCGACCTCGTTTTTGTGACCGAATTAGCCATTCCGAAGTTGATGAGAGGACTGGGGACGAGTGTTAAAAAGTGTTCAAATTAAGAAATGCGAACCAAATCGCTAAAAAGACCACCTCGAAAATAGTAAGTAAACAGTTTGAAGACGTTTACATAAATATCATCTGAATAATAAGCTTTCGAAAATCAGAATATTTACTATGAAATGTATTGTAATTTTTGTTTTTGGGACGCACAATATTTTAATCCGTAATTTCACAATTTTCGAAAGCTTATTATTCGATTGGTATTCATGTAATAATACATA